GATCGGTCGCATCTCGTGTGTTGTTTTCTTCTTGGTTTATGCTTTCTTGGCTACTATATATTCTTTTGTTCCTATTTATCAGGTATGGCGGAGGATTATGTTCCCGTGTCTTTTGTGCTATCAGTATTACACTGCTGTTGGTGTCCTTGGTCGTCTTTTGTGTTATAATTTTTCTTCACGTGGCTTTTTTTGTTGCGTTTATGGCGGGGTCCGCTTCCTTACTTTTGGCTTCATTATCGTCGTCTCCTATTTTTTTATTTATAATGATGATGGTACATGCACTATTTTTCAATTTTTGTCACTTCCCCTTTTTTGTTTTTTTTTTTTGTTTCTTTTCTATCATTGAATAACTGTATAGATTGACGCGCTCACTGCCAGGACCAAAGCCTAGTATCCCTTTTGGGCTCAGAAATTCGTCCTGTTCGAAGATTCACGATCAACTGTAAAAAAAAAACAAAAAACAAAAAAAAAACAGGAAAATCACTCAAATCTGGTGACCAGAGCTAAAGAGTTAGAGGATAAACAGGAAAGCACAGACGAAGAAAAGCACTACACGCAAGAAGAAAAGGCAACCACAAACTGGACCAACAAAAGAGGCCACAACGCCAAATGCAATTGTGGAATTAATAAAAAAAAAAAAGAATGAGGTACTACGAGGCAAAACGGGAAGACACACACTCTTCTCGCCATCGAAGCAATCAACGCCGCAGCAACGAAGCAACCAAAGGCAAAATATTTTGCGTTAACTGGAAAAATTACGAACACCCCGCGTCATACGAGGGATGCTCCAAGCTAGTAGAGCTGCGCAAAAAGCTCAACGAAAAGATAAACAATGCGAAAAAACCAAAAATCGAACGCATCGCCAAAATAAGCCGTAAATACGTCGCGAACTAAAGTTCGTGGACGTAGTAAAACAGGGAAGAACGCAAAAAAATTTCCCTCTCCCACCTATATTTGTTAATCCCAAGCCACCACCAATCTACATAGACGCTAAAATAATAGACCCCCTTATTGATTTGCTAAACAGCACGGCAGGAAAAGAAAACTACACCATTAAACAACTCAAACTGGATCAGGTAAAAGTACAAACTAATACCTCAGAAATCTATAGGAAAGTGACAAAAGCGCTAAAGGAAAAAAGCGCTGGGTATCGTACTTGCCAACCCAAATCTGATAAAAGCTACAAAGCAGTAATCAGAGGTTTACATCCTAAAACAAATACAAACAACATATGCGAGTAATTGGCCAAGATCGGACACCAGGCAAGA